ATTCCATCAGAAATTATACTTATAAAAAATCTTAAAAATTTTATATTTCATAATTAACATATAGGAAAAATTCTAAGAAAAATTTTTACCAGGATATACATTTAAATATATATAAAATTTCTTATATATATATATATATATCTTTCTTAAAAATATTTTAAATATAATCATATTAATTTATGTTTCATTTATATCATTGTTATTGTACAGCCACTCTCTAGTTGGTACATCATTTCTACTCACGTTTTAGATTTATATCTGCGTAAGGATCATGAACTTTCTCCTCCTGTTTGTTCAGATCCTCGAGGAGGATCTTTTGCTGCTCCTCGCTCACGTCAAGAATAATGTCAGCGTCCTCATCGTGAAATACTTTGTATTTTATATTCATAGCGGCGGCAAGGTTATAATCGGTATCCTTGCTAGTGTCATCTTTTTTGTCCTTGTGGTCGTCTCCCACGTCGCTTGAAAACCTCCTCGTCAATTTTAGCCATGAATACGTTAACGATCGTGATGTATGACTTCCAGGAGCTTCACGCGACAATCGCTGTATGCTTAATAGGTTCCTCAGGATGTACGAACGCATGTCAATTTCGAAAACTTAGGTTAGGGTTAAGTCGCGACATCGCCGACGGCCGAGGTAGTTATGCTGAGGATATTAGATAATTTCATAATTTATAATTATCATCCCAAAATTATAATTTATATTTAATGTAATAATTAAGATCTAGCTTGAACGTTAAAGGCTTTTATTCTTTATTAGTTGTGTAATAATTAAATACAGATTATTAGAAGTAGACATATCCTATTATTAAGTTTTTGAAAATGTTTCTAGCTTATATATATATATATGTATGTATAATTTTATCGAGTTCATATTTTATGAAGATATTTTTGTATTGTACATATATATTTATAGGCCGATTTTTTCGACATTTTTTAGCAATTTATGCAAGCAAAGTAAAATCTGCACAGATGAAACATAAGTATAAAATAGATAATTTTATATCAAGAATTTTACAAACTCGCATCAGCAGGCCACATTCCAAGAAGTTTGGTTTTTCAGCTAAACTTTTTGCATAATTTATTTTTTTTTTTTGCTCTTAAATGTAAAAAGAAGAAGTACAGAGCTAAGATAATTCATCATAAAGGAGAAACGGAAATGTATTGGGATGAAACAAAAGCCTTCAATTAAATTCTGTCTTGAGTAGTTGATGTATTTAACCAGACAAGATTTACAAATACAAAATTCTCTTAATGCGAAAAACGTGTGTCCATTGAAGATTCGTCTCCCAGGGATTTTCAATTAGGAGCGTTCATCGAATGGTGAAACGTCGCAAGTCTGTTCTCCCCACAGCTGAAATATTACGTAGCAAATAAGAATGGTATAAGTGTTAAAATAGCACGATTACACAATTCGTCAAATATGTAAACTGTACACCTACAGAGACTGTGAAAAGGAACTGTTTATTTAGACCTCGCACGCATCTTCCTCCTCTTACGCTTTAGCCTCCGCATCCTCTTCTTACGCCACTGTAAAATAAACACATTAACATATCGTTATCTTTTTCTGAAGTTTACAGTGTCTGCAATTCAAACATACAGCATATTTCAACAATATTGCAGTAACGTAGTAAATGTTGCTAGAAATTCTGAGATTTGGTCTGTTCTTTCAATTTTCTGTTAATTGTTAATTTTTTCTTCTTTTTTCTCCAATGAGAATACAAGAATGAAAGAACAGAACAATGTAAGAAAGTTAAGTTAAAAAACCGACTTATGAATCGATAACGCACCGCGTCGATTTTCTAGGAAATGGAAGTCGAGGTTATGTATTATAAAACAAGCAAAAGACGTAAAAAAAAAAAAAAGAAACCGCTAAGTGTTGTTAAAAAGATAATCATGAACTCGAGTTAATCATCAAGGTTGTAATTACAACGCGAAAACATTCGTAGCGTTGGTGTCATATCAACAAAATTAATCGACATGCCCAAGTGAAGGAGGCGGTCTCGTGAATTTTGCGCGGTGAAATAATTGCATATGTTTCAAGAACGCGATAATTATCAACGAGAGTCGATGACGGCTTACCTTAGCTCTCATCTTCTCCTTTAGACGACTCTAGATCAGTTCGGAATAATTGGATTACTTCGGATTTCGAATCAACCACATTCGAAAGTTTCTCGAGGTAAAATGAACGATGCAGCAGACCGACCACTGGACGAAGCACGGACGAAGAAACGGAGAATGGAAAACAAATGCGCATGCGCATGTACGGCGATGCGTCATTTGACGCGCGCTCATGTCCGGCAGCCAATAGGACAACGCGCTTTATACTTGGGACTTCCCTCAGTGACGCTCAAGTCTCTAGGAAAAGAGCCTCTCTCATTGGTCGAACAAAATATTCGCAAACATAAACTGTAGCATTTAAATCATTCAAAATGATATTTAAATCATTTAAATTATTGAGCGCATTCAAATCGACAAAGCGTCTAGCTTACTCGCCAAGCAAATAAACATGATTGGTTGTTATAGATATAACCAATCATATTCAATCGCTCGGCGAGCAAGCTAGGTGCTTTGTCCGGCTTGAACGCGTCCATTCTAAAGGCATTTAAATCACTTGGTGTTTTGCATCGAGAAACTACACAATGTAGCGAATAATTTTTCATTATTTGCATTTTCGTATATTCTTCCTGTGTTAATATAATTTGTTTATACTTCTTCAGAGAATGTCACTTCACGCCCCTAAGGGTATGCTTCCACTGA